TGGGCCATGGTGGTTGGAGGGTGGAGGTTAGTGGATAGGGGGGTTTGTAAGTATCGGGAAGGCTGTTTGTATGGTACCTGAAGATCCAAAGAGATGATGTGCAAGTGCGTGAGCAGATATGACGTCATTTCGGACATGCAAACAGGTGCGGTTGTTTTGGAAGCAGCATTCGAGTCAATCTGTATGTATGTTCAAATTGTCCAATGATCTAGCCGTTAAGAACAATGTTTAACATCGCCATCTTCTTGAACCTTTCGCACCTTAGCATTGGCGGCAACGATACCTTGGTGTCTTATCAATTGATGTCGTATCTTATCAATTGATTTCGTGTCTTGATTTCCAGCGAAGTTCTTCGTACTAGTGACATATTAGTGCTGTTGGGGTGCACATATTAATACATTCGCGGAAAGACTTGAACAATGATCTCTCTGGCTATGCATTTGTACGAAGTGGCCGCACGTCAGCGACATGTCAGACTTTCAATTCATAACGACTGGAATTCGCTACAGTCACTAGCAGAACAGTGACAACTGCCCGCCTGTCACTAAGCGTATCCCTTTTGATAGTCCTGCGCGCGACGCAGACTCTATTCTCGAGAACTCTCAGCTTCGGAAGTTCCATAAGTTGAAGTATAACAACAACTCTAAGTCAACATTTAGCAGGTCAATAAACATGCCAAGAGATGATCTCGATCGCTTATATGGCCACCGCGGCTACAGACACGATCCGTCTACTGGCTGGAACGACACGCAAGGCTTCGATTACAGACAAGGAGGGGTAACCTACGAAGGACATGGTCGTCATTATGTACGCACTCCCCAAGACCTGCGGGCTCTTGATGGGCTGTCAGAAACAGGTAGGTCGCGCGGACAGCCGCTTGTTGCCCGAAACCTGGAGGTCGTTCCTCGGGTCTCGTGGACGGAGAGATGGAATGCCAATCGTGAGAGGCGAGAGAGCCGTGAGCGACGCCAGGAGGACTGGCAGAACAGACAAGAAGAGCATGAGCTTCAGAGTCGGCAGGAGAGACGTGAGTCTCGTGAAGCTCGTGAATCTCATGAACCTCGCGAACTTCGTGAATCTCGTGAGCCTCGTCGACCTCGAGAGCCTCATGAATCTCGAGAGTCTCGTGGATTTCGAGAGCCTCGACGGACAGACAGGCCTACCGTTGTTTACTTCGGAGGGAGTGACCAGTCAAGAACCCGGCGAGGTAGCAGATCGGGATGCGGTGGCGTCTGGGACGTGTTTAGGCGATAACACAACATAGTATGAGATCGTTTGAATGACAGGATGAGGTGGATAACACTGTTGATAGCCTCATGTGTTGAATTCATGTTGCGTTGTTGAGGCTTCAACCTTTGCGCAAGTACATCGTGCTGATTGTGATCAATGATCTCGATGCCTGTATGTATTCGGGCGCGATACGATCTTCCAATGTACTCCTTATTGAGGAGAACGGTTGCGGTAGGGCGAGGGCGAACGCTTCGATCTCGATTTCCTGTCACCCTCGCTGGCAGAGCTGTGGCGTCGACGTCTTCGAGTGCGTTCTTTGTCACGCCCTTCGCTACTGCGGTCTCGACGATGGCGTCGATCCCTATCCTCTGAAGTTTCTCGGTGCCTGGACTTCCTGTGGTGACGGTCATCGTCTGACTCTCTGTCGCGACTCCTACTACGGTTGTCCTTGTGGCGGGAACGTCGACCGTGTCGGTCACCGTCCTCGTCATCCTTGATCTTCTTCCTGTCCCGTGAGCTTTCCCTGTGATGCCGTCTGTGTCTGCTTTTCCTTTCCTTCTCTTTCCGCATCTTGCGTTTCAGTTTAGCAACAGCGTCATCCACCTTCTCCTGCTGCTGCTTGATCATCGAGTCGCGCATGGGGTCGTCCATGTCCAGCTTTTCCAGCAACCGGTCGAGCTCAATCTCCTCCGGCAGAAGTGGCCTGTCGTCTTCTGATTCACTATCCTCGCTCTTCCTTCGCTTGCGCCTGCCGTCGTCTGAATCGTTACCGGCGTCCATGTCTACATCGCCCATCGTGTTGTCCCTCATGTCCTCGTCGTCCCTGGGCTTATAACGCGCGTGGTCGACCCTGATAACACGGTCCATTATGGTTGCGCCGCCCAAATTGTCGACAGCCAGGTCGCAGCTCCTTTGGTCCTCATATTTGATCCAGGCAAAACCACGTGATTTACCCGTCTCTTTGTCGCGCGCAAGCTTTACCCACACAGGCTCACCGTACTGTGAGAAAATGGTGATGATGTCACCCTCGGAGAGCTCGAATGCTAAGCCACCAATGTAGATGAATGCTGTGTCGCGGTAGTCGGTGTGCCAGGAGCCCTCTGGATTGATGCCGGCCTCGAGCTCGCGCTTGTTCAGCTGCTGGATAGCGCGCACCGAGTTCATGTTGGGGCCGAAGTGATAGATGTAGCGGACTGGAGAAGGCGTGGAGGCTTGGTTGGTGAACTTTTGGTGAAGCTCGGTGCTTGGCAGATGCAAAGGCGTTGGACCCCTGCAGAAAAGGTACCGACCAACAAAGAGCTACCAAACACCTCCACAACACCCCACATAGCACACTCACTGCGCGCAGCAACACTCCCACTTCCTCCTCCAGTTACTTTGTTCGATTGCACACGTCACTTAGACGCCCCGCCCACTGCAGCAATCCTTCTTTCGTACGCGACCAGACTCCGCAGCACCTCCGGCCTCCGCAATGGCCAGCGCGCATCGAACTTCAGGGTTCCCCACGCGCACACCGGGCAACAACGACCGACCAGGCAGTAGAGACACAGAGAAGGAGGAAATATGGAAGCCCATGCTGGACAACATCTCCAGTGGAAAGAGGTTACCTGAGAAGAGCTTGCTTGTTCTAGGTGCGCTGGCCTCACGAGATGCAGCGGTGAAGGCTAACAGAGGGGGTTAGGTGGAACACCAGAGACACAACGAGATTTCCTCGAATCAGTATCCACAGATGGCCCAAACGGTAGGAGACAAACAGACAAGGGGAGGAAGCCTCCCATTGCCAACCAGTTTGCATTGGGTTACACATACCAAGATGTCCTCGACACAGACCATGAAGGTACGTGGTGTCTTCGAAGTGCGTATGGCAATGCGTTAACAATGGTCAGACACGCTCGCTCGCCTCTCGCTCTATCTGCTCGCCAATCCGTCGCCGTCCTTTACACCCCTCATTAAACCCTACCTGAACCCGCGCACCCTGCCACACATGCTCGTCGTCATATTGCTGGACTGGAATCACCCATGGCTCTGGATACGGCAGTTACGCGACTGGATACGCGTACTACGTTCTTTGATTGTTTCATTGGACGACGCCTCGAAGGCTGTGCTTGAAGAGAACATTGCGACCTTGCAAGACAAAGGACGTAACCTCGGTGGTGAAGGCAACTCATCAGTAGAGAATGTGAAGATACCGTTAGGGCCTGGCGAATGGGACGAACCACTGGGCATCCCACTTTGCGTTGTGTGTCAGAACGCTGACAAGATCGAATCTCTGGAGAAGGAACGCGGATGGAAGGAGGAAGAGTTTGACTTCATCCTGCAGTATCTGCGTACGATCTTATTGAAGCACGGCGCAAGCTTAATATACACAATGCCTTCGGCGCCCGGCTCGCTGCAGACACTTGTTCATTCGACCTTGGGCATCAAATCGCTTCTCAAGCAGGAGCAGCTCAGGCACAATGTCACAGACCGAGACCGAGTGCTGGTACCGCCCAACTGGGACTCTTGGGCGAAGATCAGGATTCTGCGAGGTAACTTTGAAGTGGAAGAGATTAGCGAGAAGTGGAGCGTCGACATCGATGTGCCTCAACGCGTGGCTCAGCCGAACGGACAATCAACAACAGACGGTGACGAAGGGGTCGATGTGGATGGACCGACAACACCCATAAGTCACCATGATGCCGACAACTCAGCAACTGCGATATACGAGAAAGAGATACGGGACCCTGAGTCTGATTTCACACTTTCGACACTATCGAAACAAGGCAACGGCATCGAGGTTACAAGCATGGATCCACAAACCTTCCTTACAGAGCAGGCACACGTTCTCGATCAACTACGACAGGAAGATGAGAAGGATGCAGCGCTCAAGGCAGCACGGAAGGAAACTGATCCCTCGGCGCGGAACTGGATTGCGGCTGGGACAGGGGGCGACGACTCATCCGGCGTTGTTGAGGAACATATCGGGCCTGTGCAGTTCAACATGGGTGGCATTCACGTGAATGCGGACGAGATGGTGAAAAGGCTGCAAGTATGTGTGACAGATTCCCGAGGGCGATATGAACGGATAGCTAACACCAAGACAGGACCGCGAAGCAAATCGCAGCAGCGAGCCTACAGCATCATCTCCAGATGCACAGGACCCCAACACTATGAGCAACGATAAGCTCATGTCCTTTTTCTCCGGTCTCATCAAAAACGGAGGCTCCAACAGCCCTTCACGAGGCTCATGAACGCAGCAGATTTCACACTTGCGTCTGCTCGGCAACGTTTAAGCCCACTCGGTGCATATCACCATCTGGAATTGTGTCGTTTTTGTTTCCTCCCTACGGTACGGATGTCTTGTCTACATGGTTATATACCCACAGCGTAGTCTGCCTTGTAATCCTATCCGTTATGTCTGTCGAGTCCCTCACCTGTGCAGTTTGTTCTATTCGACTATCTTCACTCGATTAACCAACACTCGTCTCAGAACGTCACTCCAACCAACCACACAATGCCTCAACACTCTCGCGCAGCGACCCCCACCGCCTAGTTATCACGTTCGCCTCACATTCGTTGATCGCGAAAGGTCGCGAGTTCGGACCGAAGCGTGAATCATCTAGAGATTATAAGAGTCACGAGAGAAAGCGGCTGTATATGGTAGACCAACTGCAAATAATTGCAAAAAGTATTGCAATGCTTTATAAGAGGTAACGTAGCCACCCGCCAATGCCCTCCTTACCTACTCTGACAAAGAGAAGGAAAAGAGGATCCAGCAGCAAAAAAGGAAATGATTCACGCGAGGTTCGAACTCGCGACCTTTCGCGATCAACGAATGTGAGGCGAACGTGATAACCAACTACACCAGCGAACCCAATCACTTGCTGTGATTTGATGGAAGGGTGGCAAGTTTAATCCAATATATAATAAATTAAATGGTTGACCCGTCAGGGAATTGATAGTCTTGTGCTTAGCGAGCTCCACTGTGTCAAAACACCACGGACTTAAGGTAGATTCGTAAGCCTATCCAAACAGGGCGCAGGATTGAAGCTCACCCAACCCTGCAGCCAATAGGTGCGGGGCATACCTTCTACCTTCCATCATGCCTCAATCCTCGCGCGTGGAATTACAAAACGTATAAATTCAAGCTACAGATCCGGTAATACCATTAGCCAAGCCGGGTCTGGCTCTTCTAAGCACAGTAAGAGCGCTGCGAGCCGAGGCAAGGATAGACGTTGTGCGTGGTAAGCTGCCAACGGAACCAATATAACATGCCGTAGTGCTCCTTCTCCGCTTACCCCCGTCTACGACTCATCTCGATCGTGGGATATGATTGAAGTCGACTGCCGTCAGCTTTATAAAACTGTATTACTGTTCGCCAATTTTGAAACGTCATTCGCCTGGATACCTAGTACTCAGTAGATCCAATACTACCTCTATCGCAACAATGACGACCATCAAAGACCAATTCCCCTGGGTGAAATCCCCAGTTATCATCAATGCGCCCATGGCCGACAACGCAGGCGGCTTACTCGCAGCCACGGTGACACTCGCTGGCGGCTTCGGACTCGTGGGGAGTAAAACAGACACGAATATCACTCGACGTGAGCTCGGCATCGCAAGAGACATATTCATGCAGCAAGACCCAGAAGGCCAGGGCAAGGCCGAGATACTAAACGTAGGCGTTGGCTTCCTGCCTTTCATTCTGAAGCTCGAGCCTGCTCTGGAATTGGTGAAGGAGTTCAACCCGGCTGTGGTGTGGTTGTTCGCTGCGAAAGAGTTCGATGAGTATGCAGTGTGGGCAGATGCAGTGAGGAAAGTGTCTCCCAAAACTCAGATCTGGGTGCAGGCTGGGAGTGTGGGTGCTGCCCTGCAGATTACTAAACAGACTCGTCCTGATGCTATCTGCATGCAGGGCGCTGATGCCGGTGGTCATGGGTTCGAGAAGGGTGCTGGCATCATTTCACTGCTACCCGAGACTGCAGATGCACTTGAAGAAGCTGGGTTCAAAGATCTACCGCTGCTGGCAAGTGGAGGTATTATGGACGGACGCGGTGTCGCTGCAGCACTTAGCCTGGGCGCTGCGGGTGTCGTGATGGGTACGCGCTTTCTGGCGAGTAAAGAAGCGCTCGTGCATTCTGCGGTACAAGCTTCGATCCTCGAAGCCAAAGATGGTGGGCAGGTCACTACGAGAAGCAAACTGTTCGACCAGCTTCGAGGTCCTAATATCTGGCCCGAGGTGTACGATGGGCGAAGCCTGGTAGTGAAGAGTCACAAAGACTTTGTGGAGGGTGTCAGTCTCGAAGAAATTCAAAAGAAACACCAAGAAGCTCTGAAAGAAGAAGACTTGGGCTGGAAGACGGGATTGGAGGGACGGGCCGCGATTTGGGCAGGTACTGGAGTTGGCTTAGTTGGCAGAGTGGAAAGCGCGAGCCAGATTGTGGAGAGTGTCAGGACTGATGCGAAAGGAAGACTGGATGTAGTCACAAAGTTCTAAATGTACCCGTTATAGGCTTAAAGCCTATGTGCAGCGCTTCGTATGAATCTCAGCAGAACAGCAAATTGCTGTAGCTGGAATACGTTTATACAGAAATCATCATCAACTCGACCCTGGTACCGGAATTCCACTCCCACTCCTCCTCTTAACCCTCAACTTTCTCTTCCTCCTCTCTTCAGCGCTCCCAGATTCCTTCTCTCCGTCTTTCCTCCCTACGCTTCCGACGCTCCCAACACTCATTCTGTTCGAAGTTTTGACAGCATCACTTTCGCCATGACCCTCGCCCCCAACAATTCCATTGACAGCCTTCGAAACTCCTAGACTAATTCCACGGTTACTGAAACGGCTCACCCGCCCATTACTGCCTTGGCTGTCGAAACTACGCCGTCTGTTACCTAATGGTCTGATGGGGGTAGAGGGGTGGCTTGCTTCGTGCTCTGTTCCAGCGACGTCGTCGCTAGACCACCACCCTTCTGGACGTGATGTGGAGGTTTGCCCGGTGAGATGAGACTGATGTGTGTCGACAGAGTTGGCAGGCGAGCCGACCGTATGCACCGCCACAACTTTTGATGCCGGTGTGGGTGGTGAAAAAGTGCGGGGTTGCTGAGGAGACGTCTCCTTGAATGGAAATGATGTGTGAGAGATACGCTTTTGGTGGGATGGAGACTGCGACTGGGCAGTCGGAGAGCCCGGACTGGTGCGTGGGTGGGGAATGCGTGTGATTTGCGCAAGACGAGAGCGAGGCGAAGGTTCGTTTTCTTCGTTGTCACTGAGTATGGTGCGGCGTGTTATTTGTGATATCTTTGTTGCACTCTGGTTGGGTGTCCCGGCAGGACTTGAGTCATCATCGTGTAAAGGTTCAGGAAGGCCGCGAGACTCGGGCAGAGGACGGCTAAAGTGAACTGGCGAGCGAAGTTGCTTCTCTTTGTAAGGCTTGACAGCAGTTGTCTCAGTGCTTGCGTGTTTGTCGAGGGCTTCAAAAACGTGGGGAAAGACGAGTTTGTCAACTGACTCTGCCCATAGGAAGTCGAGATGCTCGTAGTGCGGAATCTCCTTGGCGATAGTGTGACGGGGCAGCTCCTTCAACATAACGTTGATGTCCACCAGACTATCCGAGCCACCCCAGACGAGCACAATAGGTGTCTTGATATTTCGAGTAGGAAATTTAGCAACTTTGTAGTACTTGGAGCGGTTTGAAGTCATTGGACTTGGCGCTTCGTCGTCGTACATCTGGAAAACGCCGTTGCGAATGATCTGGAACCAATGCACCACACTCTTGGTCGATGTGTATGAGTACAGGTGCGGGTATGAAGCGAGTTTCTGGCTGGGCGTGATGTTAACAGCCGTCCAGCCGAACAGGAATTTCAGGGATGTGTCGATAAGTCGAACGAAGATAGGTGGGTACAAAATCGACTGCCACATGGTCGCTGATGCCAGAATAGCTTTGCGTCCAAACGCCAGATACAGGATATCCGGAGAAGCCTTGACAAACGAGTCCACAGTCCCAGAAGCTACGCCCTTGGGGCTCATAGCTGGTGCGAGCGCAATGAACACATCCACCTTCTCGTTTAGGGTAGGGTGAATACTCAGTGTGGCAAACGCCTGCGCTGTGCCCTGACTGAATCCAATATAGCTCAGACTCGGCTGATGCGTTGTCTCCAGAATGTACCCGATAGAGTCTGGGATGTCGTGGAATGCAAACTGATCCATGCTGAAGTTCCAGAACTTGGAATCTGTAGGCGCCATGTGGATGTTCTTCTTGCTGTACTTGTTTCCACGGTTATTTCCCAGCCAGACATCGTATCCTCGCTCAACAAGCTCGAAAGGCAGGCAGCGTTCGCGCTCGGTAAGACAGACCCAGACCTCGCTGTTCATCATCAGGCCGTGATGCAGATATACGACTTTCTTCTTCAGCCCATCCTTGCCCGGCCCAGCGTTTACACGCTCGCCCTCCTCGCCACGCTTCCAGCCTAGGCGGTGTAGACCCAGGAGATATCCATCGCCAGTCTGCACAATGTGTTCCTCACAATAGTAGCCGTACAGCTCGCACAGCTCAGTGAAGTCGGCGGCATTGGCAATTGCATTCCACACGTCCCTCTTACTCTGGCGCGATCGTCTCGATGACGGGGAAGAGAGTTGGTTGAACAGCCGTCGAGTGATGCGGTAGCAAGCGTTGATGATCGGTGTGGGTAGTGCGATGGTGATGACAGCGATGAGAGACTCGAGAGCGATGAGGAGTATCGACAGAACGAGGGCGAAGTACTCGCGCAAATGCAGACGTCCAAGGAAGGGGATGCGGAGCGCCATGTCGTATGCGTGCCGTCTACTTGACGGCTAGTAGATAATCGTATGCGTTGTTTCAATCTCGGTGTCGAATGATCTTCAGCTCCTCAACATCCAATGCGCCTTCCGTCCATCAGCAGAAGGCCAGCAAGTGACAAAATTGTGAAAAGACGGTAAAGCAGCCATCCCCGTTCGCGTCGACGCTGAGACAATGCAGGTGGAGAAATGACGTTCACTGCCTAGTCTGACATGTGACATGGCTCCAACGCCGACTTCCGCGGCGAGAGCAGATGTCGGTGTCTTGGCGTGCTCATTACTCCGACATATCTCGACTGCACGTGTGGTATGACCAATTCGTCGTGCATGCTTGAATGCGCCGCGACACATCTTACACACCGCCAACATGCCTCAATCATGTAAAGACATCCGTACGCCTCTATTCGCTCTAGTCTACCAATCTTGACAAAAAACTAATACACCACACACAGGCGCCGCACTAGCCTTCTGCCTCCAAAACAGCGACTGCATCCTTGTCGAACGCAACTCGCCTGGCGACTGTCTCCGTCCGCCGCTGAAATACACACTTCCCACGCAATGCCAGCAACTGCAGAAGGGGTACGCTGAATGCAAGAAGGGCATGATCGATATGCGCAAGCGATTCAGAGGCAACAGGCCAATTGCTGTGCAAGGGCAGCTGGAGACGGGAGCGTTTGGGCAGGGCAGGGCTGAGGCAGATGAGAAATCTGGCACCATCGAGGAGAAGGGGTACATGTTGTATGCAGGGAGACCGTACAAGGGTGTGCAGGAGACCAAGGGTGACGAGGATCCGGATAACAAGGGTTTGGAAAGGTGATGAGAGGTGCGTAGAGAGGAAGAAGTTATATGAAGAGTACTTGTCAGAGATACCAGCAGCATCAATGGCGTTATGGATATGGAATAAGGCTGAGTTCACCTCTCTGTAAGAACAGCAATGTAAAATACTGTACAAGGACATTCGGAGTGGACTGCTATTGGAGAATTGCATTGCTGTTATGGCTTGTTCTCCAGCTGAAAAGAACGACGAATCCATACTCGCTTTGAGTCGAACACCCCAA